CAAAATATGGCCAAACGTCATCACCGAAGTTTGCCCTAAAAACAATTTCGTATCCAAAAGTTTGAAAAACAATTACTCACTTTCCGTTAATATTTGTGTTAAGATTAATGAAGAATGATAGAATAATAAATTCAAAACAAGTCAAAGGTTAATTATGCTATTTTACCATGGTGTTTGTGTTGGTCTGCCGCGTTTATGTCTTTTTGTTTTTACTTTTAAGGAGTAGGTAAGCTTACTGCCAACCTTCGAACAGGTTTTAATTATCCACCCCCCGAGAGATTAGAAAATTCTAACATCCCCCCACCTACAAAATGATTTTAGTTATTAATCAACTATTTTCTTAGCCTTAGCTTCTCAAAATCAATAACACATCTATTTTCTTCTAGCAATTCTAGCAATAAAATTTAAAAAACAAAAAGATGTAATTATTATTTTCAGTTTGTTCTATCTACTAATTTTAAAGTATAAAAGGGGCCTTTTACAAGGCCAAGGGGTTGGCCTATGATCAATGAAGTTTGCTCCTTTCATTGAGTGCATGGGTTCGAAGCATGTGATCATTTACCACATCGTAACTTACCTGGTTTTTTGAGTTTATAGGGTGTTCAATAGACTTCGGGGATTAATTGAGGTGTACACAAGTTGGTCCAGACACCTCAGTTACAAAATAAAATAAAATGGGTCTTTTCTTTTTCTTTTCTATATCCTCTTGTTAAACCCTAGATCTATAGCAGCCCTTTCCTTGAGGAAGTTCTTGGTTATGGGAGGAACACTTTCTCTTGCCAACTTCTACCATATCTGTGATTTCCTGAGCTTCAGTTTCTTTCCTGAACCTCCAAGTCTTGTATTAGTGTTGTGATTTTAATGGAGGTGGAGGTGTAGTCAGGTTTCAATTTGCATATTTTTTTTTATAACTTATTTATTATATTATTATCATTATTTTTTTTATGAATTATGGATTGAGAATGGCAATTTGTTTGTGTTGAAAATTTTAAACTAATTTTTTATTTTTGGAAAAAAAAAGGTTTGTATACGTAATAAACAATGACAAGTACACTCGTTGTATGCGTTGGTAGTAAACTTTTGTTATTTTATTTAGGTTTAGGGAAGTGATTTTTAGTCCCACCTATTTTTTCTTTACCCCTCATTTTTTAATTTATTTCTGTTTTGACAAACTTAAACCTAATTTAAATTACTAGAAATAACATTATAATTTCTAAATATATTCATGTTCGATTTTATGTATTTATTTTTATTTTTAATATTTAATCTTACATAAAACCCTTGACTCTAAATTTTCATATCTTAAATCTAAATTTTAATAATCATTGAAACTTTTTGTTTTATTTAAATATTTGTTTGTTTAATGAAAATACAATGTAATTAATTTTGATTTGGGAAAAATGATGTAAAAAAAAAAAAAAAAAAAAAAAAATTAATTAACTTTTCAAATTGGGAAAATAAAGTTAATTATGCTTAAAAAGTTGTTTTCAATATCAGATAGGTTTGGGTTTTAAAGATAGTTTTTTAATTATAGAAGAGAGTTACTATATAATTGAGTAATTAGATTCGACAACTTTATTACACTAATTAAATGGATATTAATGACTTCCTCAATCATCCAAATGAGCAATAAATCGTGTATATTTTAACTGAAGAAGAAATTATTACTGAAATTAGACAAAAAGAGGAATGAGATAATCATAAGAATGATATGGAAACACCAAAAATTTCATACCAAGAAGCTCTAAACATATTTGAGAGCTAGATATATTTTGGGTTCAACAAGAAAGTGTATATGCTAACGACTTATTACATATCCACAAAATAAAAGATGTGGTAATAACTCTAAAGCATAAATCATTGTTCTAAACAACTTTAAATAAATATTTTATTTCATCTTACACTTTTAATGTAATACAACATATATTTTTTGTAATATACATATAATTATTATTATGTGAAGGCAAGTTCCTTAAGACGAGATTTAGAAAAATTATAACTTGTTACAATGTGAAATTTATTCTTATTTATAACTGATCAAGTTAGGATTATAATTTTTTATGACTGGGAGGTGGTATATATATATATTTTCGTGAGAGTAAACAAAAGTTACGGAAACTTTTGACTAATGTTAGAATGATTTAATATTCGTTGAAACTGATCTCACATCAATGGGACCATAAAATAAATCCATCAAAATTTGTAGACTTTAGGCAAAGCAATTATCTCCTTGTTGACAGCTCAATTATTGATTGAGACAAGTGCACAACCCTATCCTAAATAACATTTTTATCAAATTAGTGAGTAACGTTACCTCTCATCTTAATTATGTAATATAGTTTACCAACAATTTTTTAATATAACATATGGTTTGCCGGTCAAGAATATTTGCTCCCTTTATTGATTTTCTGAGTTCGAACTTTGGGGTCATCTATCACATTTATGACTTATCTTGAAATATTGGGTTTGTAGAGTATTCAATGAATCTCGAGATTAATTGAGGTACGCATAAACTGATCCGGATACTTTGGTCATTAGATATATATTGATGAAGTTAACTTACATCATCGAGACAGTGTTGTCTCTTACATGACCTATTGTTTCATGGTTTGACAACAACTTCTTAATAAAAAAGTTTTAGGGGGAACAACTTACACATACCCAAGGTTTGCTGTAAAGACAAAGTGGTACCCAAAAGGTTTGGAAATGACAAACACCCACTTTCCGTCATGTTCTATTAGAAATTTCTATCTGCTAAAAGACAAAAATGATGAAAAGACTGGAATACCCATCGATCTCCATTCCCAACGCATGCCAGCAAGGGCCAGTGCCACTGTTTATCACCGAACTTCACAGAAAAACGCTAAATTCGGTCAAAAAATCAATCGATGATGCAAGAGGGCTGTGCAAACTGGCTTGGGGTGAGAGTGGAATTACTATACTGTTTTTCAGCAGACAAAAATCCCTAATAGAATATGACATGAAGTATTTATTTGTCATTTCCAAACCTTTTGAGTATCAATCTGTCTTTATGCCATACTTTGGATAGGTGAAAGTCGTTCGGCCAAAGTTTTATTAGGTTAATATACAGTGTGGAGTTTTGTTACCTCTCACTTGAATTATTGGGGTAATGGTACCTCTCACTTGATTAGGTTAACTTACAGTAACTTTTGAATTCAATAACTTTTTAATATAAGATTTTGATTAGTTTAATTTACAGCACCGAGACATTGTTACCTCGTGCTTAAACCCTTAAGACCATAGTCTAAAGATTAATTGAACTTATGGTATAATGATCTCAGTGAAAGGTTACTTTTCTGTAATATAACTTACTCTTTTACGGTATAGCTAAAATATCAATAGACCCCCATAATTTACAAAGAGGAATTTGACAAATTTAAGGGAGAGTTTTTAAACAATTATTATCAATTACGAAAAATTGATGAAAATTTTCTAAAATTTGCAAAAGTTTAAGAGTTTTCTATTTTTCAAATAAGATTTCTATATTTAGTTATTTATAACAATTTTTAGAAAAAGAAAATTATACCGGGTTTCAAAAGATAGAGAAAGTTTTAAATTTTAAAATATCGTATTTATTAATATCAATTTTAAGAAAACCTAGAGAATATTTCTATTTTTTAGATGAGTTTACATGTAATTATTTGTACTAATTTTAGGAAAAGTCTGTTAAAAAATAGAAACCCATTCTATGCATAATTATGTATACCAATTTAAAGAAAAGTTTATAATGGTTTTAAAAGCTAGAGAATATATCCATACTTTCAATGGTAAAGTAATTATTCATACTAATTTTATTAATAGTCCATGATATATATTTTTTTTTCCAAATTTTTAATTATTTATACTATTTTTAAGAAAAGTTTATAATAATTTTATGCAATTATGTCAAGTATTTATACTAATTTTAATAATCAATATGAATTTTGATATTTAAAACAACTAGTTACATTACATCAACTTATTGATGTTACATTATTGACGTATTATCACTTCAATTGTTAACACTAATTAATAGTCATCAATCCATTACAATTTAATATGGCCAAACGTCATCAACCGAAGTTTGCCCTAAAAACAATTTCGTATCCAAAAAGTTTGAAAACAACAATTACTCACTTTCCATTAATATTTGTCAGTTAAGATTAATTGAAGAATGATAGAATAATAAATTCAAAACAAGTCAAAGGTTAATTATGTCATTTTACCATCGGCTGTTTGCTGTTGGTTCTTGCCGGATTCTTCATCAAAATAGACCGAAAAGCCACCCTAACCTTGATAACACACTTGCCTAGTCTTATCGACCAAATTTTCACCTTCCCACAACCAACTGCGTGACTGTTGTTTTGTGCCCATCAGTCGATTCCAACATCGTTACGACCCCCCACCACCACCATCTGATTCCCTGAACCTCCCACACCAAAACCCCTAACCCCGTTGCCCTAAAAAATCATCAACAATTGCATGTTTTGTACTTCGCACGATTGACCCTCTCAGGTTGGATTTCGGCCAATATTGACCTTCAAAATCCAATTTGCCACCATCCTAAGCTTCATTGAGCCTCCTCCCTACAAAACGCCCCAACATCTTATTTCGTTCGTCAATTTGTTGGATTATTAACTCTAGATTAAGGTTAATAATTACTAACCTAATTCAAATTAAAAAAAAAGAAAAAAAACCTTAAAAAATATCTAATTAACTCTCTCTCTCTCTCTCTCAAATTCTTTAGATTGCTCTAGATCCATAATCAATAATCAAATGTGGTAATTAAAATTAATATAATCTTACATAATACTTTATAGTGCCTTCCCATAATTACATTCACACTCCAATCACAACTCACTCACTTTGTCTCTCTCTTCACTTCTAGTCCAAAAAGTGCACCGACCATTTTCTCCTCCATTTTCTATTTACTCGTCCAAACAAAGTCCCAAGAATTAATTTAAATCCCACCCATCATCAAACCAAAGATTATAAAGACTCCAACTTTTTACTTTTAATTTAATTTAATTTTCTATATATTTAGATATCAAATCAAATCAAAGAAACCAAAAACGAAAGTCCAAAACCCTCTTCACGAAAAAGGTCTCAACAGCAAACCCAAAACCCAAACCCATTTCCCACCTTTTCATTGTCTTCACCAAAATTCCCACTTGTTTTAGCTCAAACGCACTAAAACCCACTTCCCAAAGCATCATGTCTCCTTGTAGAATGCCTTTCTCTTTCTTGTTTCTCCTCATTTTGGCTAATGTGATCACTTCTATTGAAGCAACTTCACCGACCCCAGTAAGTGTTTTTTTTGTTTTTGTTTTTAAAGTTTAGATCTTCTGCCCCCTTTTGTTGTAAAGATTGAAGATTTTTTTTTGTGGGTTTATTGTTTTTTTTGTGGGTTTATTGTGTATTGAGTGTTTATTATTTTTGTTTCTTGATCATTTTGAGGAAAATGGGCCTTCCTTGGAGGAGAAGAGGAGCCAAGAGAGCTTGATGGTGCCTTTAATGGAGGATAAATTTGTGATGATGGTGAATGAAACAAGAAGAAAGCTCAATAGTTTTCGGATATGTGCTCTTTGTACTTGCTGTGGAGGAGCAAAAGGGATGTGTTTGCCATCTCCTTGTTGCTATGCAATTAATTGCAACATTCCAAATAGGCCTTTTGGATTCTGTTCTTTCACTCCCAAGACCTGTAATTGCTTTGGCTGTCATCTCTGAGTAAAATCTCTTTTCATAAAAAATTTAGTTTTAGTCTTTGTTTGGGAGTGTGAAATGGGGAAGAAAGAAAGAATATCTGTTCTTGATTTGTTTGTTTGTTTATAATTTTTGTCATAATTTATTGTTGTAAGTGTTAGCAAGTAGTATTATTATTTGGGGATTTGCTATTAGTTTTTAAGGAAAAAAAAAAAAAAAATAGGAATACTTGGAGGTAGAATGCTATAAATTAGAGCAATTGTTGAGTATTTAAGAAGACATTGTCCTTTGTTTATGAAGCTAATCTTTGTTTAAACCTTATTTTAATGTTAGTGCTCAGTAGGGCTGCTGTGTTACTCATGACAAACACATATCTTTCTATTATTTTATTTCATTTTCTGTGTTTTTTTAGTTCTTCAAGTGGGTGTAATGCGCTTATGCTATTAGCAATATGTAGGGTATTGCTTTAATTATTATTTTACTATCACTATCCTTTTCTTAATTTCCATTAATTTTTCCCCTGCATCCACTACTTAATGCTTTAATTATATTTGCTTCTACTCTTTACTCCTTGTATGTGTTGTTCGAGAATTAGAATTCTCTCCTGATCTATATGATTGTGTGACATGCGATCACTATGTTATTAGTGAATTATGATCGCGTTTATGTTCGAGAATTATAAATTCAAGTACTCAGGCAAAACTCAGATTATGAGAAGATCCTTGATTTTGTATGTGTCCGTCGTGAATTAGCATCCTTTCTTGATCTATATGATAGATTATAAGTTTGAGTCTTATTGAGGCAAAGCTCAGATTATGAGAAGATCCTTGACCTGATTAGCACCGGCAATGATAATCAGGGTTTAGTAATTGAAGTCGAGGAGATAAGTTATCTGCATACTTCTACACTCATCTTTATGTTGATGTTTTTGGTGGTTCAATAGATAAATGGTGCACCCACTTTTGAAGGGATAAATGAGAGCTAAAAGAACGGCTAGTTTTAAATTACCTTAAATGGAAGAGTGCTAATTGTTGGTGTAAAATTTACTCTTAAAGAGATGAGTTTTGCTTATAGGTTGGTTGGATGAAGATTGATGAGAATGATATTAATGCTTATAGTTGAAGCCAACTCATACCTTAAGGTGGGTGGAAGTTGGATAGTAGCAATTAATTCTAGCTACTTCATCCAAATTATAAGGTGGGTAGCTTTATAGTTCTTGAGAGACCATTAATTTGTATATCTGTATAGTATATCCATGGTCCTAGCTTGTTAACGATATAGGCGATTAAAAACCATTGAGTGAGGTATCATAACGGTTCTCAAAAGGTCGATAATTTTATTAACTCGATCCCAAAATGACAATGTCTATATTCATATTTTGGTTTTCTTGCTTTTCAGAATGTTCTCGGATTGGTACTGCATTAGACTCGTTATATTACCTTAACATTATCGATTTGGTACTTTATTTATATTTATATTTATATTTTAATTTGTCGTTTTCAGATCATAAAACACCCATTGGACTAGGTGAAGTCAAATTTCATTTTCCCATCTGGGGTTTAATTTGTTGCATGTTATCGAACTAAACATTATCGGACATATTTTAATGTTAGGTGCTAAAACTCCCATTAGGCTACCTGATTTTTTTTTTTTTTTTTCAAGAGTTTGTGGGGGTTAAGAAAATATAGAGACATGCATACATCTGAGTTTGGTGTCTTGAGAAGAGTGTGTTTTGGGAATCTCATTGACCTCATCTGTGTTTTGGGACACAAACCCATGTGAGCTTCCATGGACCAATTGTGTCCATTTCTCTTCATCGACAAAAATAGGTCCGGAGGATAGTTGAGATGCGTGCGAACTGGTCCGAACATCCTGATTATCAAAAAAAAAAAAAAATTTGACAAGAAAAAACTAATATTACATTTTATAAAGTCTAATTCACGGACTACATTTAATGTTGATCTTGGATTCAAGAGTTTGTGTTCATGGTTTCGAGTCATTCAATATAACGATATTTAGCCTTTGTACTCGTTACACGCATTGTATCTGAAAGGTTTGAGGCTTTATTGTCGTAGATTTCTCTTTTTTTTTTCCCTACCGTTTGAGTTAATAGAATTGATCGATCATTTAACCTAATTTGGGTATTACCCTTGACCTCAATGTAAGGGTAGAAATTAAAAATTAACTCGATAATATTATCATATCGCGAAGAAAATAGTATTATCCTAATTTAATACCCTATTATTATTATTAAAATTATTATTATAAATACAGATAAACAATTGTCTCACTCAAAAATATTTGTGGCCAAAGATTATGTTAAAGAATTTACATATCATATGACATGGTTGTGATTTAATAATTTAGAGAATCTTTGTATAATTTAGTTTGACTTATTAATTTATTGAGAGCGACTTGCTTCTAAAATGTGGAGGTGCAAGCTGGAATCATAAAACTGGCATGTGAATATCCGCACATGATTTTCTATAAAGTTGGCCCAATACAGGTAGAAAAATAGTAACAATACCCACCATGGATAGACCACCATTAAGGGCGAACCAAAGAGATTGTGCATCACTTTAACTTGGTTCGATTCTTCGTTGAATGCAAAAATATCTTTATTCATGTTTTACTTAGGGGACCGCAACGGTGAATTATTGTGTAATAGTTTTTTCGGTGAATTATTGTGTAGTAGTTTTTTCTAAAAATTTGTCGAGGTGTACGTGAGTTGGCTAAGACACCTCAGTTACCCAAAAGAAAAATAAAAATTAGTAATAATTGAAATCTTTTGTGGTACTAAATCGATAATATTACATAATACCATAATATTATTGAACCAATTCTTGTTAGAAGGTAACGTTACCTTTTGCCCTTTAGTTAGGATCATGATTCCATTGTTTTAAAAGTTGACTTGTTGTGAGACTCAGTAAGGTGATCGGGTCATGGGTTGACTGGTTCAACCGGTTGGACTGGTGATGTCAACAATAATTTTATTTTTATAAAATTGTAATTAATCCTTTAAATTTTAGTATATTACAAAATACCCTTAAAATTTTCAAATTAGTTCTTAAAATTTTTATTTATTTCAAAAATACCCCAAAAAATTACCAATTAATCTTTAAACTTTTGACCTATCTCAAAAACACTCCAAGAAACGTACAAAATAGTCCCCGTAAATTTGAAATATTACAAAAGCCCCTTGAAACTTGAACTAGAGAAGCTGTTAGGTCCCGTTCAGACCAGTTCGACTGATCGGTTTGGTCTAGGTTTTAAAACAGTGCATAATTCAATCAATAATTGATAAACGATAACGTTGCCTTGAATACTGTAACAACGATCAAACTCTTGGTAAGGTTACTGGAGTGGAACCTTTTTCAAATAGTAAATGGATTGTCAATCATTTCCCTTGATAGTGTTATAATCGGTTGCTTGACTTGTACATCCACTAACATCATTTCAAATACTCCATTCATAATTTCTATTTCTATTTCTTTTTGCTTTTTATTTATTTGTGATTTAAAAATGATTTTTAAAAACTAAAATACNACAATAACGTTGCCTTGAATATTGTAACAACGATCAACTCTTGGTAAGGTTAGTGGAGTGGAACCTTTTTCAAATAGTAAATGGATTGTCAATCATTTCCCTTGATAGTGTTATAATCGGTTGCTTGACTTGTACATCCACTAACATCATTTCAAATACTCCATTCATAATTTCTATTTCTATTTCTTTTTGCTTTTTATTTATTTGTGATTTAAAAATGATTTTTAAAAACTAAAATACAATCTAAAATTTGAGTATTGATATTGAAGCTAAAAATTATGAAAATTAGATCCTTAAGGTGTGATATATTAACAAAAATCTCCTTAGAAGTTTCAGAAATAACAAAATCATATTATCATTAAGTTTTAAGTGCTAAAATAAATAATAAAAGAACAATTTGATAATATTTACTGATTTATAACAGTATAAATTTTTAAAATTATTTCAAAAACCTCAAGAGAATTTTGTTACTCCGTCGTACCTCAGAGGATTAATGTCATTGACTTGTTTATTTATTAAAAAAAATTAAGTTTGTATTGAAAAATTATTTTAAAAATATTTCAACCAATTATGTATTCGTAACATTTCTTCCAATAATTGTATTTGAATTATAAAATCAATGACATTACGCGAGTAATCATAAACCTTTCTTAAAATTATTAAATATATACAAAAATTTTCACATCATAAAATTTATTTGAAGCTCGAACCGAACCAAACCGAACCAAATAGCATCGACGAGGCCCCAGAAAAATTTTTACAATTGATACATAAATATATTATTTCTACACATTCAATTTTTACCTTCAGGTCCCCCTAATTTGCTGAAATTGACACTTTAACTCCCTTAATTGCAACTTCTTAAATTCTTTTTTTCAACTTTAACCTTGTCATTTGTTGAATATTACACTTAAACACCCAAAAATAAACTCCCTACCTCTGCTCCTGAACTTATGAAAGATGGACCTCCATAATCAAATGATAATAATAATAGTAAAAAAGAGACTTTTACTATTATTTTTGATTGTATCTACAACTTTGCATTCCCCTTATTTTAAGAAGAAAAAAATGAATAATTTAATTACAAGACTTGAATTAAATTATATACTAAGACAAAGAAAATACTTGTTTGTATGTGTTTTAAATCAATAAACATCTCTTCTATAACTTTGAAATCTTTCCAAGTACCTTCAATTCTGGCACCGGCTATCTCCCCCGCCCCCGTCTTTCGTAAAAAATCATATATAATCCATAACGAAACAAATTTTAGACTGCCTTAAGAGACCATACATGATTGGAGTATATCGTTTGCTTGCCTGCTATTGAGCATACGGATCGTTCCAGCATTGATCCTCATCAACAGCTTTTTTCCATCGCTTTTTAAAGATATCCAATTCTATGTAGGATTGTCTCCTCACCTGCTCAAAAATTTAAAAGTAAAATAGAAAAGAAAGCGCTAAGTTTTGGTGTTTTATTGAGTTTAGAAAACCTTTTCCACAGATAAATTTTGCATCTATACTTACTTCCACTCTAGGATTTATCGGTCGAGGCTGATGTTTTGCCTGCAATTGAGTGAGTAAAACAGTTAGTTTTATTGACGACAAAATGAGGTAAGGAACTTGAAAGGTTTGAAAAAAGCAGAGATTTTAGTACCCTCGATAATTTTTCTGTTCCAGAACTATTGACATTTGCAGACAAATTTTTCTGCAAAAACGAACATCGATTAAAGTAAATAATAAACTGCACGGTACAAAATATTTTCCACAATAAAGAAAGAGCAAGGTTTTTTTAGGATGATATCTAATAATTAAGGACAAAATTAGGCGCAAAATTTGGCCATATTCTGGGTGAAAGTCTCATGCTGACAAGTGCATGAGCCTGGGTTTGAGTCTTTCGAGCACCAGCTATATGCCACCTTAAGTCTACCAACAGTTTGAATCATTTGTAATCAGAATGGATTCTTCCGAGGATTATTTGTTTCTCCAATAAAAATGAAAACCAGGAGTGCATGTTCATAGAATTCTTTACGGGAGAAGTTTCGTCAATATATATCTCAACCAAGGCAAACTAGACCTTCAGTTTGAACTAAAACCACTAATGCCTTTGTCAACATGATTTCATTGAGAATATAAACCACGAAACAATCATAGAAATGTAAGGTTCTACACAAATCGAAGCAGATTGAGCAGTGTCAAAATCTTGTAAAGATTTTGACAACGAGCTCGGTACTGGCTCACCAACATTGCTCAAGTTAAGAAAGTAATAACGTAGTTTAATTGATAGCAAGGATATCATATTTATTACCTTATTTTCATCCACACGTCCAAGTGTAGGGCGACCATAATGAACTATGTACTCAGCATCGACGACACCAATGTTTTTAGTTCGATCACCCTATCAAAAAGAAATCATTACGCAACAGTCTAGGCAGAAGTACTGGATGTGAAAGAATAATAATCATAAGAAGCTTACCTGTGCACAATACCCGAGCTGCTTATCTAGACCCCAAGCATGAATTAGGTCATTCTGTGAAAACACAAAAAGATGTACACAAGTTAACTAGGATGTGAGCTAACATGAATATATTCCACCAAAATTAAAAAGAGTAACCATTATCAACCCATGAATGGCTAAGTTCATCATACTACAGCGCCAGGCAGCTCTTGAGAAGAGCAGTGCAGATAAGCTAACTAAATTTTTTTTTCACTAAAGCTTCACAAAATCTATCTTGAGAAGTGTTTCCTTCAGTTTGACCGAAAACTATAGATATGTACTATCATATTTTGCATTAGAACCCGCCCAACAACAAAAAACAATAAGAGGTAAAATGCGTGAAAAATAACATGTTACAATGACACACCTGGATCATGTACCATACACATTGCCAGGCAGCTCTTGAGAAAACCGGGGCCATCATTTCGATCCACCTATAACAAGGGTTTCAACTTAGTTTCCTAAAAGAAGTAAATTTCTATCTAGCACTTAATAATCAAAGAAATGAAATTCCTAAGATAGCTTCAACAGAAAATCCAATCATCTACGGCAATCAAAATATTGAACTTTACAAGTGAGAGTTTACCCAGTGCACGGAGGCGCCATACTTTTTGAGTTACACCCATGAACACCGGGCTTGAAAGCCCTCCTGCAGACACCATTGAACAACACATATCAAATAAGCTACTAGAGTTAGTGACTGATGTGTCACGATTATCAAGTTCTATGCTGAGACTGTAAATTCCATTACAGGAAAATAAAGATTAAAAAAAGAGCAAGAGAATCAACAGGAGGACCTGTGCACTATCGATGATTTCCTCCCCCGTGCTGTAATTAGATGATGCACCTCTGATGTGGCAGGATCAAGTGCCGGTTGTGACATCTCAAGCCTTTCACTCTTGATGATTGATAAATAGCTGAAAATGTCAATAAGATATACTTCATTATTATCAGTTTCTCTGCGATATATCCAAATAGCATAGTACTCAAACAGTTTAACATAGGTCTAACGAGAAAGGATTTCCGATTTAAACTTTCAATTAGAATGAGTTTATTTTGCTAATTTAAATGCGTTGCAATCAACTTACTGTTCAATGTTGAAATTGTCAACACCAAGGTCCTCATCCCAAAGAAAAATGTAACTATACTCGGCAACTATATCTGGATGTAAGAAACGCTTTGCAAACCACCTATTCATTGAGAAAACCAATACCGAGGAGAACGTATCAGAACAATGTACCTTCAGTTAGAATTGATGATGTAGTCGAAGACAAACTGACCATTTGGTTTGATTTGGTGCAGAAACATGTATGACACGCTTACTCCATTCAAAATTCTTCCACTCATCAACAATTCCATCATAATGGAAAAGCATCACAACAAAATTACTTGATAGGAACTGCAAATTTGAGCATAACAATTAAGCGAATACAGAGGTGGAAGAACATTACAATTAAAAAAAATGATCGATGTCGTTACATACCTTTTTGACCATTTTATCCACAAGATCACTTTGGTTGATTCCAACGGCCATTGCAAATAAGTTGACAGAAGAATTGTCTCTCTGTCCAAGTAGATGCAAGTCAACTTTATGGTGATGTCAAGAAAAACAAATGAGGCAAAGCAGAAAACTAGGTTTGATGTTAACCAACTCTATTGATCACTATCTTTTTTCCTGATAATCTAAGTTTAAGGATACGGTAAAAACACATAGATCTTTTCTTTTAAACCAATGGCCCCATTGATCCGCTAAAGACATTTTCATTGTCTTGGATACAGGGCAGATATATTAAGACTTGTCTAGAATTGAAAAGTAACAGGTCTTCGATTGGCTATGTTGAAAAGTAATAAGCAAATGAATTTGAAAAACTTCAGTCAAGTTATAAACCAGTTTTTGTTTTCAAAACTATACTGCTAGAGTTCGCTAAAACTGTTTACTCGCAGTGAAGCCAGCCAATTGCAGTTCTAACTTTGGAAAATTTTCAACAATTTCTCCAGTCTGCAGTGAGAGGATAACATTATTGAATACAGATGGAAATACAATTTCAAGGCAGAAAGGGCAAGTTCACACACTGATAAATAGGTTTTCATCTGTAGGTGTTTATAAATTAAACCAAGAAATGGCCATATGATTATTAAATGCTATTTAAAAAAATTCGAATGACTAGTCAACATTTATTGAAATATCCATTGTTCATCCAATGTTCTTTACCTGGGGAAAGCCCCATAATGGTCGCATATCCAAGTTAGTCGTCTTTGAGACAATGCCTTCTGGTAATTTCTCACTTCCAGGAGGTCGGCATTGAGCCTAAAACAGTAAAATGAAAATAAGTAACAAATCCCTAAGAATTGATTAGATATATAGTGTCCTGGGGAAGCAAAAAACAAACCTTGCATCCTTTAAATTTACTGGGAAAAACATCGAGCTTCTGCACAACAGAATCAATGCTATACTAGTTAACAAAGTTGCATCAGCGTTCAAAGTCAAATCTTCAGGTCAAGCATAATATCAGAAACAAGAACAATTTGTTGCTTTATGAAATAATTTAAGATGTATGAGCTGTTTCAGGTCAAACAAATAGCCGATGATACAACATGGGAAATACTGCATAATTAGATAATTTCATACCATTTCATGGTCCGGTGCTATGACTGTACTCCCTATAAATAAGATTAGACAAAGCACGGAAATCACAGGAAGAAGGCCACAGAAACGTGATCTCCCGTGCTTAGAATCAGGAAGCACAGATACCTGTAATGGCTAAAAATAAAAAAAGATAAGATGCAATGATTCAGATAGCTATACAAACAAAACTTTCTCCTCAGGCTTGGTGCAAAAGTATTATACTAATCAAGAAATTTTTTGCTGAGAAAAACACAGGCAATGAGCAGTTATCGAACAAAGTACTACACCACAATTACTGTCACCAATTAAAAGGTCAAAATCTTAAGCTTCTGCAATACTGACATGCATTCGTCCCTAATAAGGGGATAAAATTTGAAATCTCTAATTTTTTGATGATATACAATGAATTTTCCACCAAAACTGAATATTAAATCAACTCGAGAACATAAACATCCACACAGCAACCACCAATATTCTAGCACTACACAACGTAAATTTATGAAAATAAAGCCGAACTCGAATTTAATATCTCATTCTTAGAACAAAACCAAGCTGAAAGTAAAACCCCTTTTTGACCATTCCTGACCAAGCTATGACATCCAATTTCAATAAATCTATAAAAGTTTCAAATATTCCAATCACTATAAAGTACCTAATGAATACTAGTCAAAAGTTTATTTCTTTACAACATCCTGACCATCAAAGCTCTTTTGGGATTGCAAAAAGTGCTTTTTCATTAAGTACAATGCTAAAGCAAAGTACTTTTAGTGATTTTTAGAACAGAGCCACAAGAATATACATAAACTCCAGTTTTCTAATCTTAACTCCAACCAAAACTTCAACAGATGTAGTTATTAAAAAAAAAGTGCTTAATCACCTCAAAAGTGAATCTCCTAAACAAATTCCTTACATTTTCCATAAGTGCTTTCACTAAGTTTCATAATAAAACAAAGCACTTTCAGTAATTAATGTTCCAAACAGAACACAATAAAAATCCACAGCTTTCTATTCTTCACTCCAATCAAAACTCATAATTCAACAGTTGTACTGTATTAAAAATTAAGTGCTTAAATAATCACCTCAAAAGTGATTCTCTTCATCAAATTCTTACCTCAAAAACTCTCCATCCAATCCCATATTTCTCATTACAGCACAAACCCATCTCAAAAAGGAATCAAAATCAAAGCTTGCAATAAATAAAGAAACAAATATCAAACAGTACTTACATGACTCGTTGACTGCATATCCCTCAAACGTGAAGAAGAAAGCAACAACAATGAACAAAAAAGTTGTTCTGTTTTTTCATCTGGGGTGTAATGAAACAAAGGAGTTGTTTTAATTTTTCATCTGGGGTGTAACGAAACGTGCTTTGTTTTGGCGTTAAGAAGAAGCAGTTTGAAACAGAAACAGTGACAATAAGAGAAGAAGTAAAACAACACAACAACAACGTTGTTGTTGATTAGAACTGAGACAAAGACTGAAAAACAAAAACGTGTAAAAGGAGAGTGATATAGCGTGTCAGGAAATGAATGTGAATGGATGAAGATGAGAGAAGAATTGTAAGCCCCGAATTACACGGTGAGTTGAGCAAGTTTTGTTGTTTGCGTTTCAGCACGATCTTCAATTGAAAAATAACTAAGAGAATAATTCACTAAAACCCATATGGTTTTTGAATGTAACACAACACCCCCAAAATATTTATAAAATAACGGTTTGAGTTGAATCAGTTTTTAACTCAATATTGAACTAAACGTTTTCGGAGTTATAAAAAATGAAAAAACCTAGCCCCCAACTCTTTTCTTTTTCCTTTTTTCTTTTTGTGAAAAAATTTAACGGGTAAGCTTTTCAAGAAATTACCTCCTAATGTTAGTCTCGCTCAAACATGCTTAACTCGGACTTTCAGACATTCTAAACTTCTAATGGACAATGCATTAGTGTAGGTATATTCGTACACATACACCAACTCTCATCTATTAGAAATTCATATCAACTAAACTACTTTATGTCAGATTTGGTTTGGTTTAGGTTAATGGTTTGAGTTTAAATAAAATTATTATTTCTTGTATCTAGCTTAAATTATAGTTTCTTAGGTTTTAAATGTATCCATATTTCTGTCATTATAATTTTAATAAATGAATAATATGATTTGATTTGAGATTTTCTGAGTTGTATAGTGAATTCAAACTCAAATCGACCCGTTTATATTTTAATATTGTTCCGATTTGATTTGGTTCATTTTATATGTTAATATCTTTAAACCTAAACCAAGCCACTGAATTTTGCTTGGTTTAGTTTGATATGCCCCTAGTATAATGGTGATGATAATTATATATACTTAAAATTTTAAAAATTAGTTGGGTCCTTATGTTAAACCATGAACTATTAGGTGTCTACAAAATTAATCCTAAATGTTGGGGGCGTAGAAACTTCCTCAACAACTAAAAACAATTAAACGTTTGGAAGTTTGTGTCAGACATGTTCTTGCCATTTATTTATTTATTCTCTCCTCGAATGGCAAGGTAGATTCTCATTCTAAAATATAAAGATATAAAATTAATAAAATAATATGAAAAATAGATTACAATTTTTTTTTTTTAATGTTATATAAGTGTCCTTAGATATTATGGAATTAAAGTGGGGTAATTTTACCTAAAGTAAGCCATTTAATTCTTATAATACTTCTAAATGATCCTAAATAGATAAATTTATGTAATTTTGTTTTAATTTTTTAATTTGCAAATTTAAGCAAAATCTTTTTACAAAGATTCGATCCGAAAACGTTTGAATGAGTCCAAAGAGATCCCGTCACATTTTGAACTAACTAATACCTAAAATTACTCTTTTATTGTGACATCATTCATTGTTTATTTTCGTTTATTTGATTGATTAATTTTTACTTTCACAGAATACAAAATATTTTATATATAATATTATTATTCAAGAAGTATATATGGGTCTTAAATAGCAAGAAAAATAAAATATATTTAGATAGGTTTTGAAGTAAAAAGAAAGTCTATCTCTTTAAGTTGGATTAAGTTTATCTAATTCTTTATTAGAGTTAGATTAATTGTACCTAAATTCTTTTATTTAGGTATCATGATTAATTCAAATAACATCACTTAATTACTTGGTATATGTTTCATAGTATAGTATCAATATTTAAGAAAGAATTATTCTTTTTCGTGAACGTTTTGATTTTTAATGATGGGGAGATAACCGATTGAAAATTTATCTTTTAATACAAACTTCCATTCTAACGTCAGGATTGGATGACAAATCGAGATTTAAAAAAAAAATCACACCTAAGATTTTTTTTCCCCTATTAACAATCCAAGGGAATCGAATTCAAGACATTTTGAGTAATACATTTAAGAGTTCCTATTACTCCTTTTGAAAACCCAAGGTGATTTACCTAATAACTTTCGATTTAGGAGAAATGACAAGTAATAAGTGCTCTTTTAGGGATAATATGAATATTTTTCATCAATTGTAAAGTTTCATTATTAGCATATCAAATTTGTCCTAAAATATATTGGATTATTTGGAAATTACTTTTGAGGAAGTTTATTTGTAAAGCACTGGTTACAAAGAAGTGATCTTAAAAGCAGAAAGGAAAGTGCTTTTATAGAAATTGTTAAATTTGACTAAAAATTAAATGGCTTGATTTAGCCAATTATTTGATATACAACTAATTTTAATGATTTTTTTTCAATATTTTACAAGAATAAGGGTAAGTTTTATTTATTTAATTCTTATTTGGGTTAAAAAGGAAGTTTCTTATATTAAAATTCAAGAGAGTTTGCTTAAAATCTGATCAAAAAATCATAAAGAAAAATATTAAAAATAAAATAATTGTTAGAAAGTCAAAGGTATACATTAATTGAGATTAGAATATGCTTCTCCTTATATTATTATATAATAAATAATTAAAGCTGGACATTCTACAAATTGAAGCAATCGATTTTGGGATATCCCAAAATAATATATTGGTTAGTCTGAAGATGATATTGGGTTGTTTCTAAATAAATAAAAGAAAAAATATGTGTTTTATTAAATTGCAATACACATGGGAATATTTTATAAAAACATTTAATTACAGAAATAAAAATTAATATCTTTTAGCAATTACTTTTAAGTAAAAGTTTGTAGCTGAAGTAAGGAATATAGCACTATTGAAAATGGATAACCCCTTTTATATATGAATTAAGTGTTTTTAATTTTGTTACTTGAACATTAATATTGTGTCCTCACATGTTTCTTTATTATTATTCATAAATCAATCACCACGGATAACTCATTTCTCGATTTATCAACTCACTCCATCAATCACCTGTAATGTCAGGGTTCAAATTTCACTAGAAGCAGGTCATAGTCAGAGACATTTACCTGGCCCGATAAGGAATTAGTATAAAATCAATCAATCATTCATTCTAATTGCAATCTCAAGTTGGTCTCACGCCGGATCAATTAGACCTTAAAAATTGAATTTATGAGCCAAACTCTCATTGGATTTATTATAACTTAAAAGTTAGATTCATGTATCACATAAGAGATCAATTTAAACAAAAAAAATTAATATTCTTAAGCTTCTGTGTCAAATGGTTACTCAACAAATATATTTCACCTAACTATTATGAAAGAGACAGGAATGTTATATATATATATATAACCATCTTTTTTTATTGATGCTTCTAGTTTTGGTTTATGTATTTGTCTCATAGCCTTAAATATGTAGTAGTTTTATTCATAACAATAAATCTTCAACATAATGAAATTCTTTTGATAATCAAATAATTTTCAAGCTATAAATGATATCCCGCATAATGATAATGGAACAAAGCTTATAGAAAAGAAATTCATGCACGCGCAATGAACCACTACATATGTACCAATTGATTTATATTTTACAAGAATTAGGGTACAATTTATTTATTTAATTTTTAATTGGGTTAAAAGGAAGTTTCTTATATTAAAAATCAAGAGAGATTGCTTAAAAATTGATCAAAAAATCATAAAGAAAAATTTAAAAATAAAATAATAGTTAGAAAGTCAAAGGTATATGCTAAGGGGGTGTTTGCATCATATAATGTTTTATTATATAGGTATATTATATTAACAGAAAGAAATAGCACCTTGAAGAGTATAGAGAATGTTCAGAAAATGTGTTTGATTAGTTAGAATAAATTGGTGAATAATATGTTTGGTTTGGAGGATAAATAGGTTGGTATGTTATATAGATTACTAAATTGCTCTCCTTTTTAAATATTAATATAATAATATTTTTTATTATTATTTTTTGAATCGTTTCTTTTAATCCCTTACATTTGAAATTTTGCTAAAACACCACAGTCATATAAAACTTTAATTTATAGCAAAATCACCCCTACCCACCCCAAGTCACTGGCGGTAGCCAGCCACCACCGCTGCCAGTAGTCAACAGAATGGCGCATGACTGACTGTATATGGCTGGTCATGCGCTGGCAAGCCGAAATGAATCCATGGCTGGAAAACGACCAAGTTTATGGCTATTTCATAGCCAAAGATGTGGTCGTGAAACGGCCACAAATCTGGCCGTGAAAAGGCTAGATCTTTGGTCATGCCATTTGAGGGTGGACGTGCACCATTATGGCGACTGACGCCGATGGTGAGTCACAGTCGGTTGGGGGTATTTTGTTAACTTATAAACTTTTTAGTAGCTGGGGTGTTTTAGCTAATTTCTCAAATGTAAGGGGGCTGGGTAATTGTTATTTGGTAGACATTTGAGAGCAATTGTATCCAAAATGGTTTTTAATTAAGGACAAAATGGGTAGAAAAATCATATTACCTTGATAATGTTTTAATAGTGCCCCTAGCAAGGTAATAAGATTATCCCCCATATTACCAACAGTAAACACTATTTGCAATAAAAGATTCCCATAATATTTTATTACTTGCAAACCAAATACAGGAATCTTGAAAAATAAACGAAGATTACTCCTGTTATCTTGTTTATTACTGATCCAAATGACCCCTAATTGATATTAGAATATGCTTCTCCTTATATCATTATATAATAAATAATTAATAGGGTGAAGCAGGACATTCTACAAATTGAAGCAATCAATTTTATATCCCAAAATATGTACTTTTTTTTTGTTAGTCTAAGGATGATATTGAGTTGGTTCTTAATAAATAAAAGAAAAAAGAAAAATATATATGTATTTTATTAAATTGCAATACACATGGGAATATTTTATAAAAACATTTAATTACAGAAATAATCATTAAAATCTTTTAGCAATTACTTGAACATTAATATTGTGTCCTCACATGTCTCTTATTATTATTCACAAATCAATCAACACAGCTAACTCATTTCTCGATTTATCAACTCACTCCATCAAGCACCAATATCCCAATCTTGAGTCAGACTCATGCCGGATCAGATAGACTTTAAAAAACAGATTTAGGAGTTCATCTCTCATTAAATCCATAAAAGTGAGAGGTTTGATAGATTTAAATGTTGGAGTCAATTTGCTCCCGTCACTGAGTTTGTGGGATCAAACCACCTTGAGATCACCTATCATATTTGTGGTTT